GAGAGAGAGAGAGAGAGAGAGAGAGAGAGAGAGAACATCTCTGTTTCTGAATCTGGCTCAGAACTGCTTCCAGATTCAGACAAAATCATCCAGGCTGATTGGGCCGAAGTGGGTGGGCTGGGCATGAGGCTGTAGGCCTGGGTCCACGCCGTTTCATATTTGAATTTCAAGGACCTGCGGCCCCCACGCGTTTCAAAATATTTTAGACCACGACCATGGCCACCTACCTGTTCCCAGGAAAATGCCACGGGCAAATACCGGTCCTGCATTTGCTTGAACTGCGCCCCGCCCCCTAAATGCCAGTGCCTTTCATTTTACCAGCCTTCAAACGACCAATGGGCCCGAATGAACGACCGGTATAACGAACAACGACGAAAATGTCTCTGGGGGGGGAAACGCAACCCTGACGAGCTGCTAGCAAGGGACTGTGTTTTTTTTTGTTTTTTTTTTTTGGGTGAGAACATCCATGAGATGCCTATTATTGGAGGTGGTAAGGCTCCCTGTTATAGATGGCTCCAATCTATTGGTGGGGAGGCGTCCCAATTACAAAACTGGAGCAAGTTGTAAATTGTAGATGACGAGCAGCATTGATTGCCCTCGGACTACTGGCTTCCCCCGAATAGAACGTATGGTCATTGTAGCCGTATTTGTAGCGGCCGAACCCTTACATGGTGGCAACCCATCAATCATATATCCACCTGCTCTAAATAGCCGCGGTGAGAGAGAGCCTCCGGACCCCCCCAATCAGAATAACTCCCTACTCGCCCTCCCATCCCATTAAACGGGTCCAGCGTCCCAATTACAAAACTGGAGCAAGTTGTAAATTGTAGATGACGAGCAGCATTGATTGCCCTCGGACTACTGGCTTCCCCCGAATAGAACGTACGGTCATTGTAGCCGTATTTGGACCAACTTGCAGTCCAGATGCGGCGCAAATGACCGTATGTTCTATTCGGGCGAAGACCGTAGGGGATTAACAGTCCATTAGGCTGAACTAGCGGCCGAACCCTTACATGGTGACAACCCATCAATCATATATCCACCTGCTCTAAATAGCCGCGGTGAGAGAGAGCCTCCGGACCCCTCCAATCAGAATAACTCCCTACTCGCCCTCCCATCCCGTTCACTTTACAGCTTGTGATTGTTGTGTATGGTTTTATGGTTTTATGGTTTTATCAAGGGCATAACCGCCCTACCCAAAACGATAATCTTCTGAACAAGCACCCCCCCACTACTGAAACCGTCGGCTGTGTGTGTTGTGTGAAAACAAAAAAAAAGAAAAGAGGTACAAAGGGCCTGGTCCCCCTTCCCGCGACAGGGTCCCTAATGCCCCTGATGGTTCGGACGGGTGAACAGTCCCTAAAACCCGCACACACATTTTGGCAATTTGTGTATGACCTTTCCCCAAAGGTAGTGGCCCCCTAACCCCAAGGCAGTGTGAACTGAAGGGAAGGACAGGCCTTGGTGCTCAAAGAGGGAGACAGATGTGATCGCAGTGCCCGCTGCTGGTGCCACCAAGCAACGGAGGAGACCTTGCTCTGTACGTCAACAAGTATACATCAGAACGTATGTTCTTCCATAGCTGGTCTTCTACGGCGTCTCCAACTGCGGCAATGGCTTCCACGTCGAGACTGGACGCGATCCCACATGTCTCCACTCCGATCTAGCCTCATCTACGGTCGTCCATCTTGTCTGAGTTTGACCGTCCACCATCTTCTTGATATCGTCTGACTCTCAGAAACTCGACGGAGGCCATACTCTCAGTAGCAGTTCCCAAAATGCATCTGACTGCAATTACGGCACTCACAGTAGCAGTTCCCAAAATGCATCCAACTGCAATTACGGCCAGACCTGGATGAATGTGACGGTAATGACGTCCAGAGCTTTGTCGAAGAAGTCCTACCGGTAGTGTGAGTATGCCCTGAGTGATTTCTGAGAAACTCAAAACTCGATTACACATTGACGTTTGAGGAACTGCACTACTACGACTGTGAGTGATCCCGACAAACTCGACTTCAGCCGTCCGCCTCCACCTTGACATTGACTGATGTGCACTTGCATCTTCCTTCAGAATCTCTCTCTCCCTGGGCCTGTCCGACCATTGCCCTCCTTAGCGTTGCGTTGGTCCGCTTGTCCTGCTTCTTGCAGTGCTATGATGATTTGCACCCAGACTACGGTAGTGTTGAAAGAACAAGTCCAAGGGGGATGTTTCTTTTGACTTTATAACACCTGTGGGGTGGACAGAAAAGCGATCATTTGTAGCCAGACTACGGTAGTGTTGAAAGAACACGTTTGACTTTTTACCTGTTGTGGGGTGGACAGAACAGCCTCTGTGTGTGTGTGTGTGTGTGTGTGTGTGTGTGTGTGTGTGTGTGTGTGTGTGTGNGTGAGAGAGAGAGAGAGAGAGAGAGAGAGAGAGAGAGAGAGAGAGAGAGAGAGAGAGAGAGAGAGAGAGAGAGAGAAGGGGGGAGGTAGTATCGTAGTAGTGGTCCTGATAAGAAGCAGCTTCTGCTGGACGTAGTAGCGGACCTCCTAAGAACCGGCGGGATACCGTGAGAGAGAGAGAGAGAGAGAGAGAGAGAGAGAGAGAGAGAGAGAGAGAGAGAGAGAGAGAGAGAGAGAGAGAGAGAGAGAGAAAAGGGGGAGGTAGTACCGTAGTAGTGGTCGTGGTAAGAAGAAGAAGCTGGTGCTGGACGTAGTAGCGGTCCTGTTAAGAACCAGCGGCGGGATACCGTTTAAAGCTTTGGGAGTCGGGCCATGGATGAATTGACAAGAATAGAGGTGGGGGAGGGAGCGAGGGCTGCAGCCTCGGCGTTGTTGACAGGGGGGGGTACGACCCCTAAAGGCGCAGCCAAAGTACCCATTGCCCCGCCAATCCCGACGGTTACCCTCCAAGTGGCCAACCCAAGTCCTCTGGGGCTGGCTAGCTTCGCCATCACCACGTTCGTTATGTCTATGTTCGAATCGGGCGTCCTCTCTACTTCGCTCTCGAAAACAGTTGTACCCCTGGGCTACTTCTACGCCGGTACCGTCCAGATTCTAGCTGGTCTCCTGCAGTTCCTTGCTCATGACACCTTTGGCTGTACAGCCTTCTGCTCCTTTGGTGCCTTTTGGGTCTCCTACGCCTACTTTGTCATGGCTATCGAGCCCTTACTGGATAAGGATGATTTGCACTCTGCCAAAGGGGTCTTCGTGCTGCCATGGGTGGTGTTGAGCGCCTACATGACGGTCATTTCTCTCAGGACCGCCCGCGTGCTGACTGTGACCTTCGTGCTTTTGACTTTGACTCTCTTTGTCCAGACCGTAGGACAATTCGCTGACTCCAAAGGGTGCCAGAAAGCTGGGGGGTGGATCGCGTTCATCACCTCCCTCTCGGCGGGGTATTGCTCTTGCGCCTTCCTCTTCTTGGAGACTTGGAAAGAAGAGATACTGCCGATCTTGTTCCACGAGCACATCCCTGTGAAGCGTCGGAGTGTTGTGCGCGGGTTCTCTCTCTCTTTGACGCCGGACTAGATACCATGGGCAACGTCACAACATCAGCAGAGGAAGGACATGCGTGCGTTTCGATGGTGGGATGTGGAGAGAGAAAAGTGGGGGCCTCGCTCCACGACTTAGCAAATGACCAAAGTGAGGATGCATCTTCCGCTAGAACATGGGAAGATGCACAGCCAATTTTTTGGTCTTTTGTGCATGTCGAGAATAGGATGGGCACCCCAGTTGTGAATGTGTACAATTCACAAACCATTTTCCCCTCCGATACAGGCATGAGTCAAGGTGTGTTGTGTATTTTTCGGTAGGAGGGAGGGGGGGGAGGGGAAGACGGTATCAAAGAGGGTCTCTGTGCCTGTTGGGGAGCAGGATGGGGTTTCATTCACTCCCGCCTACGGTTCGTACGGACCGCTCCTCCTGGAGGCCGGGGGGCGTGAGGAGGGG